GGGAAGGGTGAAGAGGAGGAGGACCTGAATATCGAAGACTGTTATGTCCCACAGCGGTCGATCTATGACACTGTTAGACTAAATGAACAGATAGACTCGGGTTCAAAAGGCAGCCTGGCTTCCAGGCATTTTGGAGATCGGACTTTGCCCTACAGTCACAGGACACTGGATGTTAGTTCTTTGTGCTCCAACGGTGCCCTGGCTTCTTCCAATGTGTTTGAGCTGAGAGGTCGGGAAGCTCACACCCTAGATGAAAAGATGATCTTTGATGCGCTCAAACTCAATAGCGACATCATCCGAACCACAGGATTACCCAAAGCCAAATCTCACGCGGAAAAGAAAGAGCATAGACGGTCATGGCGGATGTTTGTCCCAGCCAATTTTATGGATTATGCAAACAAAAGTGAAAGCTCCTTTGTTGAACCTACTGATGTGTCCCAGGCTGTCAGCAAGGCCAGCAAGTGCAGGTGGGGGACCAATTCCCTCACGTCGGAGGAGGAGGACTCTGGCTTATGCAGCCCTCCAGCCGAGAGGGAAGAAAAACAGGCCATTTTAACTGGAGAGCAGTCACAAATCAGAAGCGTGTCTTCTGCTGAAGATGTTCATATAGCAGAACAGCATGCACCATTCCTTCCTGCCCATTCCACTAGTGAACAGAAAATCCCATTGCTTTCCTGTAGAAGTGCCCACCCTGAGGAGAACTTCAAAATGATTTTACATGGTGTTTCTCCCCTGGAGGAGACAACTGGTGTGAATGGTCAGAGGGAAATCCATGGTGAAACCTGCTGCCTGCAGAATGACTGGAAAGAGACCCCTGTGAAGTGTGACCCATTAATTAGAGATGGAGAAAACGAGTGTATCTCTAACCCAGGAGGAGAAGGGAAAAAATATGGACCGGGAGAATTCCACATCACAGCAGAAAGCAGGGAATGGAAGGCAGATTGTCCTGAGGATTTGGGGCGCTCTCATTTAGATTTGGGGGGCAATCACGTAGACGGTGGTAGCAGAAGCTTAGGAGAAAATGCGACACTGTTAACACCATGCGATTCGGAAGACTCGAACCCTGCACCTAAAGGGGAAGGGGAGGCTTCTCTTTCTGCCCAGGAGATGGAGGTGGCCCATATGAAGTGCTCCCCGAAATTCAGAGCAGCGAGAAAGAAAGCTCCCAGGAAAACCAGGGCCCGGGCAGGAGTATTGGACACAGTCTGTAATGGCTTTCAGTCAGTTCAGGTAACTCATGGAAACGTGAAACCCTGCCCTGCCAAATTCTGTGCTTCTGTTCTCAAGTGGTCACTGGTGTTTCATCTGAGGGTGGGGGTGACTAGTGCCCTACGAGATGCCAGATATTGATAAGTTGATCATTACAGCAAACTAATTAGGTGGGGGTTTGGGGAATGATTATTCCCAGCTGTCGAGAGTCCTGCTATTGGTTGTGCAGCTGGTGGCTGTGTGCCATCACTTAGAATGCCTCCACTGTGAATTTATGTGAACGTTCAGCTTTTACACAAATTGTGGTTTAAGACACTGCCATTTAGGGGCAGTTACATTGGATTTATTAAGCTTGAACAGGCTTAGTCATGAAGGTACAAACACAATATTATATTGTTGTGGTCTGCGAAGTACTCCACTCAAATTAAGGATGTTTTAAAATGTGCTGAAAGTTTTCTCTCAGTAGCTCTGCATGTGGCAGTAGAGAAGTTAACGTTGTGCTGTATTTTGCAGCCCCGATAGCTAGCGCCTGGCTTTTTGTGAGTGGTGAATGAGGTAAGAAAGTGAAGGGTGCAGCCCCGTAATAAGCAGAGGTTGTTTGTCAGGCCTGTAATTTTTTTCTTCCCACTTAGACTGAAGTTCAGTTATTTTGGTAGTTTTTCTAAGCTCTTCTGGTAAACTTTGCCTCAGAGGTAATTTTATTTTATTTTAAGCTTCTCTCTGTGTGTGTGCTTATGGACTAGGTTAAGGGGAAAGTCTCTCTTGATAAGTATTTTGCTACCCCTGAGAGATAAGGGATTTGGACAATTTCAGAAAAGTTTCTCAGTCCATGAAATAATTGCCCGAGTCAGCAGTGCCCCTTTCCTTGAGCATGCTTTAAATGACATGCTAGTTTAAAAGCTTGGCTAAGTACATTTTTATGTAAAGGATCTTGCAGTTTATTTGTAGGAAGTAATGAAGCTCTTAGGAGTACATAGATTCTTTAGTAGTTAACTTTTATAGCCCTTAGTATATTTTTGTAGTACTTCAGAAAATTACCACAGACTCACTTAGACCTACTCTGATATGCAACTCTAAAATTAATTTCTTTAAAACCAAGGTAAGAAAGAGATTAAGGCAATTTACTACAATATTATATTAGGGTGCGCTTTTTTCCATCCTGAAAATTATCTGAGAGGGAGAATAGAACTTTTCCCTGAATCCTTATATACAAGACAAGTTCTTGGGCTTAAGAATGTAGCAGTCCCTCCTCCTCTTGTGTGTGTGTGTGTGTGTGTGTGTGTGTGTGTGTGGTAAAACATATCTACAGCGATTCATAGAAGTAGTAACTTAGAAAGTGGTATGGAAAAGAAATAGAATCATAATACAGCACCAAACTCTATTTTTACCACCTTGTCTCAACTTTCCATTGCCTTACTAAGTAAATTTATGCCTTTTAAAAACTTATGGAAACTTGTGTTTTTGTTCCTCAGTGACTTGGGGAATTCTTATAATTTGTTTGATTATGTGAATATGGTATTGTTATATAGAAACAGTTCTCCAGTGTGGAAATTGTCTATATAGGAGGGGACTTCTAGAGGAAATGATCATTTATTTGTTTGCTGTTCCTTAATGTACTCATTCATACAATAACACGGAAGTAGCCTGCTTTTGGGTCTTGGCCAGAGTCGAGAGAGCTTGTCTCCTGCAGCCTCTGCATCTGAAAATTGTTTTCCATACTGTGCCTGAATTTTATCTTAAGTACTGTTTTGATATTTGCCTTTGTTATGTTTTGTATGTTCTGTTTAACTGTTTGTTCACTTGGGCTATTGATATATTTGTATAGTGCCCTATAGTATAACAGCTCAGAACCCAAACCTTGTCTTACCTTAATATCTTAGCTGAAACTTTCCTTCCTGAGTTAAATTAACTTATTTTCTTTATGACATCCTTTAACTCCTGTATTAACTCCTGTATAAATTTAATTTAATTTGTCTATGAAAATGTTGATCTACGCCCCTCCCCCCACCCCCCAGTATAATCTGTTTAGGAGTTGATATCGTTCATTCCAAGACATAATACTATTTTTCTATACTGATGTTTATTTGGCAAATAATCATCAAGTACAATATTGCATGTTAGGTACTATGGGAGATCCAGGGCCTGAAACTATTATAAGGAAAAGAGAACTTTCTGCTTCCATGGAGCTTGCATTTTGCTCTAACACGGTAGCTCTTTGGACAATTACAGGCAGGCACCTGGGGACCATAAGTTGGATGGGAGGAGGAGTCCGGTTCAGGGGGCAGTTCTGGAAAGCTGCTGATAGGGGAGGCAGTGACCAAAGCATAACCACAGTTGCTGTGCTGGTGATATGTGTGATCAGGTCCTGGGGTGAGGTCTACATGCCTCTTGCAAGCCTATTGGCATCTTGATAGAAATTGAGGGGGCTAGGTGTTTAGGGATACATACTACTGCAGTGCTTGCCTATGCCATTTTTCCTTTTCCGATCCCTGCATTTTGGCCCATCTGGCAAGTCATAGATTGGCATCTTGGCTCACTTTATCATCTTGTCAGTGATTCATCAAACTTTAATGCCAGCTAACAGCAGGCATTTTTAGAAGAGCCTATAAGAACCCTTGCCCAATAAATGGGTTCATCTTGGACCCATCTTATTTTGTTCATTAGCAATACATTTTTATACTATAGTTAAATTGGAATGATAGAAAATTTCTAGTGGTATGATAATGAAACAGTAAAGAGAGGACATACACTGTTTTCTTGGTTTCATAGGTAATCTGATTAAATGCACTTAGACTATTACTATTTTGTATTCATGAATAGTGTTAATAGTATTATGAGTTTATATTTGGTTAACTTTCTAACTCTTATTAATAAGGTTGCTATGATATGAATAATATCATAGCAACAAAAATTATCTTTATCTCTAATGATTGATATCCAAACACTGAATAAATGTTTATATTTGGTGGTTATTAGGTCATATAATTCATATGATTATTGCTGTTTCAACTGCAGGTATTCCAAAAAGAAGAGATTGAACCCTTGCAGGTTAAACAGCAAGATGTAAACTGGTTGGGCCAGGGCCTAATTCAGAGTGCTGCTAACAGCACCAGCACCCAAGGTTTGGAGCAGGACCTGGACGATGTCAATGCCAGGTGGAAGACTCTCAATAAAAAGGTAACTTTCCCTTCCCCTTCGCTGTCCTTTCTGTTTGTTGTCATTCACTAGCATTTGTTGTGACCACAAATCGTATTTACAGTAGCCAGACTTCCCTAAACATGACCACTTTTTTATATTGCTATAAACTGGATGGCCCAAACTCCAGTGCCTACAGGGCTTGTTAGGAAGCATAAATGAAAGGAGCCAGCTGGAGGAAACAGGGCCTCTCCCTGTCATTATCTGGACTTTGATAGAGGCGCAATAGTGCAGGGGTAATGGCAGGTGGCCCATGACCCTGTCCTGTGTTGAGAGACCTCATGCACCTCTAAAGGCACAGTAACCACTTAGCTCCAGCAAAGCATTGCCTTGTAGGGGTCTATGCTCACTGTTGCTAAAGAATATATTTACTTCCAAGGAACCGGGAAATCTCACTTTTTTAGTGAAATCTTCTAACTTTCAAATGTCAGCAACTAATTCCACTGTATAATAGGTCACACTGTGCAAGTGAAAGCAACTATGCCTGTCTATCTGCCGTGGACTAAGGGTTGCCACCCTCCTGATAGACCATTGACAGCAAATGTTATTTTACTTATAAGGTAGAGATTCCCACCTTTTAAAAAATACGCATGCGGGAAATAATGCTCTGATACCTTAAGGAGATAATGCTGACGCACAATAGCAGATCTTCACGTGACATACATTATCAGAGAATTGTTATTAGATGGCAGTGCCTGTCTGGTGGTGGTGGTGATTGTTCGCATACAGATTTTGCTGCATTGAAATCTTAAGCATCGCCAGGTCTCACACCCACATTCATCATTCTTTGAAGGCGGATTCATATTGTAGCACACTTTGAACACAATTGGAATGCAGTGTCAGATGAAAATATATTCCATAGTGCTTAAAATACCTTGCCAACTACTTTTTTAGTCCAAAAAGGAGATCTATGAGAAGGGCAGTACGGTATTGTAGGACCCAGAGATTCCATTTACTAGAAGACAAAGGCCCTGGTCAGTTAAATAAGGACTCAGAGCTTGGAGCTAGAAGAATTTAATTGGATACTTTATAGTTATTTTGCCTAGCAAAACAGAATTCTCATTCTCTCTGTTATAATAGTTATTTTTTAATCGTAGTCTTTTTTTATCACTATCCCTGATATGCATCAGTAGGAAATAAAAAAATGAATCTCAAGGATAATGATAAAAGGGACTAATGCGTTGTTTCTTTCAGCAGCCTGAAAATATTTCAGTCATTCATTGCTAATCATAAATGCATTGGATATTTCCAAAATCGCAGAGATTTTGTCTTTTACATTGACTGTTTTTGATGGCAACCTTATCTTCTTGGCTTACTTGCTAAACATTGATGCTATTCTACCCCCATCCTGTCCACTATCTATGCTTTGGGTAGATTTTATATGAAAAGGAAAAGAAAATTTGTGACCAAATAGGAAGATAAACATGAAAAGTGGTGGCCAGTAGGCAATTTCATTGTTGTATTAAGTTAGTAAATAAGTGGGACCAACTGGAACTTTGCAGGTGGCCCAGCGAGCAGCCCAGCTGCAGGAGGCCCTGCTGCACTGCGGGAGGTTCCAGGATGCCTTGGAGTCCCTGCTCAGCTGGATGGTGGACACTGAGGAGCTTGTGGCCAATCAGAAGCCACCATCGGCCGAGTTCAAAGTGGTGAAGGCCCAGATACAAGAGCAAAAGGTAAGTCAGTGCTGCTTTTGTATTGTGTTTCCTGTGCCATATTAATAATGAGACTCTTTTTATATGTTAATAGGTTATCTCAGTTAACTGGTTGCTGATGTTCTAGATATTATTTTGTTGTCCATTTAACAAATATTTATGGAACCATGTGCCTCGGATCAGACGTTGTTCTGGGTGCTGGAGGTATATCACCAAATAAGAAAGATAAAATTTCCTCACTGAGATTACGCTTTTGTGGGACAGGAGCAACAGGGAGAGAGAAACAATAAAGCAAATAAGTAAATTGTGATAAGTTAGCAAGTGATAAGTAAAGCAGGGATGAGAGATAAAAATTAGAAAGTGATAACAAGAATGAGGGACAGGAAATGCTTGAGTAAAGGGTGTATGTTTGTGTGTGTGTGTGCAGTTTTAAATAGAGAAGTCAAGGAAGAACGGGACTTAGGAGAGAAATATCACTGTTCCCTTATATATTAGGTTGATCATATGAGATTGCTTTTAGTATAGATTAAATACTGAAGAAGCAAATATTTGATTCACATATGCTAAGGAATGTGCTGTTGTGTCTTTTGACACTCGGTAAGGACCAAGTTGGAAAGACACACTCATTAGAGGGGTGATGTCTACCTGGGACCTCACATACAGTTGTGCTCCCATTGGTGCTGGTCACTTAGGTCGCATTTAGTGATGTTCTCAGTACTAACTTGTCAGCCATGACATGAAAGGACATGTGGGAGGGGCCTGCAACACAACATATTGGTGAGGTTTCTCCTGGATGAAACCTTAAGAAGAAGGGAATGGAATAAGAAGCTTCATTTAATTATGATATTCAGAATTTTGAAGACTTTTGTATTGGGAAATTAACCTATTAGAAATAGTTTTAGAGGTAAGAATTAAACATCACAGGAAAAACATTGCATTTAGGCAATTTTTGAATAATATGTATACTGTGTATAAAATAATATATAACATATGTAATATTCAAAATATATAATATATAAAATAACTGCTGCCATTCGCAGTTTAATTTAAATCTTTATAATTCTCCCAGAGTTGTTGAACTTATGCTTAGCCAACAAAACCTATTTGCTGATTTTGCTTTCTTAATTGCCAGAGGCTTTGCTATTAAAGTTGATCAAAAGTAATCCACTTAAGTAGTTTTCTTTAGCGCCTAAACCACCTGGTGGACTTTGATTTTATAATGACTCTAACCTGTGTCAAGAGAGTTTGTGTTTCTTCTTTCTAAATGTGTGTCTTTACCTCCTACTTTGTTGGTCTTGATTACAAAATGAAAGTAAGTGAATGCACTTCTGGATACCCGTCCATGTCTTTACTCCTTAACTGTCGTCTGTCAGGATCAGATTAAGGAAACAGTGAACTGGTTGGTGTTTTATCCCCTGTGCCACTCTCATTGTTGTTAGTTAACATGGCGCCTGTGCGTAGATAGCCTGGCTCATGAAATATTTGCTTGTTTAGGTAAGAGCAAGGGAGCCCTGAGCTCTGCCCACCTATATGAAACATTCCATTCCATGCTTCTTCAAGTATTTACTTAGAATTGAACTGAATTTTTGTCTCCTGCTGCTAAATCCTGAAATATTAGTCTTATTTAGCCAGCTTTGGAGAGTTCTCATACATTCCACCCCCTATTCCTTTAGGGAGTGATATTTAAAAGCTCTTGTTTGGTTTCCATCCTCATGGAGGATTTTAGGAGCGAACCCCACCCGGGGAAAAGAGCCGAGAGCCTGGGCATTGGCCTCACGAGCTTTGTGAACTTGGTCTGTGTCTCACCTTCTCTGCCTGTACTGCATTGTTTAACACCGGAAAAGGGTTTGAAAACAGTAATGACGTGTAATAATCTGTTTTGTCTTCATGGGACAGATAATTGTTGAATGTATAGGACATTCCCATTTCATTACAATAATGGGAGCAGGGGAGTTATGCTAAGCAGCATCTTCTACCCCATTATTTTACATTAAAAATTATTAATGAGTGGCTTGGTGGCCTTGTCAGTATTGGTTTTATCCACCATGAAAAGCCCCTAACCCAGTGTCTGACACAATCACAATGAGTCATTAAGCAAAATGAGTTACTCTTAAAATCCTACTTTTCAGATCCTTTTGCATGTGAATTCATACAACATATATATTTTGGGCACATAACAAAAGTGCCTAGAATAGATTTTTCTTTATGTTGATACAATTATTCCTTTGACTTTTTTATATTTATTGTGTTTTTTTTCAAGCTTCTCCAAAGATTGTTGGATGACCGCAAATCTACTGTAGAGGTAATCAAACGAGAAGGAGAAAAAATTGCTGCCACAGCAGAACCTGCAGATAAAGTAAAGATTTTGAAACAACTGAGTCTCTTGGATAGTAGATGGGAGGCATTGCTTAATAAAGCTGAAACAAGGTAACAAATACTACTTCCGATCTTTCCGGGAGAGAAGCAATGGCTTTAATACAGATATTTATTTGGTAATACTTTTCTTACGTTTATCATGTGACCACAGATAGCAAGGGCTGTGTGTGGTACTTCTCTCCTCATGCTCCTAAAAGGTGTCTTATAATCACCAGACATATCCGAACTCTTGATTTTAAGAAATCCTTTCTCAGAGGAGTGAGTTACTCACTTGTTTATCACATAGTTATTGCCTGCCTGCTATGTGTCAGGCGCAGAACTGGGCCTTGGGTTACAGGGATGAAATGGAAAGATCATCTGTGTCCTCAGATAGGGTACAGTCTAGTAGGGTTTTATAGCACTGGGAAAGTAATGACAAATGTAACGTTTCAAAGCAAAAATACAGGGTGCCCTGGGAGCATTTAATAGGAAGAACCTAGTCTTGGGGCAGGGAAGTGACAGCTAAGTTATCTTCTAAAGGAGGAGTAGGAGTTAGCTAGGAAACTAGGCAGGTGAATGGCTCCACTTTGCACTCAACATTGCTGTATTTCATTTCTGCATTCTCTCCATTGACCAGTTTTTGAGTAGTAGCTACATTAAAGTGTAGCCACATAGACTTTTTGGGTTGAAAATCGATGAACCACTGGATAGAATATTTCCATACATTCCTACCTCCTTTGGAGCTAAAATGGTGAAAAGAAAAATTTGGCTGACTTTGGATAATGGAGTAGAATTAATTATATTTCTAGGACCATAGCATAAGGTGCTCCTGAAGAGGGTAAAGGTTTCATGTTGACCTATAATACATGTCAGTAGATTATTCCTTCTCTGTAATGCCCCAGGACACTGTGTCCTGGCTCCCATGGACAAAAAATGTGTCCAATAAATATTATCTTATTGTCATTATTATTGAGGATACTGTTGTTATAATTTTACTATTGTTACTATTATTATGATAACTATTATTATTTTAAATATTATAACTAAGTTGCTAAAGACTTTCATAAGATTCAGGCACTTGAGGTTGGTCTGTTGTTCAACTTTAGTTTTATTTAATAGAACCATTTTAACATGTTCTTTAAATGTGAGCGATATTAATTTTAGCCCTAGAAATTTTCTACAAAAAAATGTTTGGAACAGAATTCAGAAGCAAGAGAGTGAAGGTTTTTGTTGAATATTTCACACAGTCTTCATCCCTAACGGACCTTTATCTTGGCACATTTGTAGGAATCGTCAGCTGGAAGGTATCTCGGTGGTAGCACAACAATTTCATGAAACCTTAGAACCACTGAATGAGTGGCTTACAACCATAGAAAAGAGGCTGGCGAATTGTGAGCCCATAGGAACCCAAGCGTCTAAACTGGAGGAGCAAATTACACAGCACAAAGTAAGATACTCATCACACATTTCTAAGATTCTGTTCTCCATTCCCTTCTTGGTTTTATGACATAAATTTGAGTTATGTATTTTTTTTTTATGAGTAATTGTGAATTAAATCCATTTCAAATGTCAACTCTTCATTCTATTTGTTTTTATTTTCATTTGTCCATTCTGTTTGTTTCTCTTTTTTAAAACTTTATTTAGGCCTTAGAAGATGACATCATCAATCACAATAAACATTTACACCAGGCTATTAGCATTGGCCAATCCTTAAAGGTTTTGAGCTCCAGGGAGGATAAAGATATGGTGCAGAATAAATTAGACTCCTCTCAAGTGTGGTACATTGAGATTCAAGAGAAGAGTCACAGCAGGTCTGAGCTCCTCCAGCAGGCCTTGTGTAATGCTAAGATTTTTGGGGAAGATGAAGTGGAGCTGATGAATTGGCTGAATGAAGTACATGACAAACTGAGCAAGCTCTCAGTCCAGGATTACAGCACTGAGGGTCTGTGGGAGCAGCAGTCTGAACTTCGGGTATTTTGATTTATTTTATTTTATTTCTTTCATTTTGGTTGTCATTATTTTCTGAGTCTTCCTTATTTCTGTATTATTTTATGTTCGTTTTGATTTAGGTGTATCGCTGTACTCAAGAAATGCTTTGTGTGTACAGATTATTTTCAGTGAACTAACCTTAAAAAAGAGATTGAATGTATCCAATAGCCGATTTTTCACTTTTCATTTCTTATTTTATTGCCATATGCAAAGACCCATAATTAACTAGTGCTCCAATATCTCCACACAGCTCATTTCATAGGGCCCTAAGTATTTTCTGAAACAGAGAGTGCTGTCAGTTGTGGTAGATTAACCTGGGACCTGGGCCACAGTGACAGAAAGAGGAGGGTAAACATGGGACAATAACGAATATTTGAAAATGTGGGTGTTTACTCAAGTATATCTCTATAAAACCTAATTAAAGTCCTGTAATATTAACTAATACTAATGTGTATTTAATTTTTCTTTCCCCACATGAAAATGGTACCTGCCTTTTAGGTTCTGCAAGAGGACATACTACTCAGAAAACAAAATGTAGATCAGGCATTACTAAATGGTTTAGAACTACTTAAACAAACAACAGGTGAGATATCTTTTAAATTAAGTAATTATAGAGTCAACATTTAGCATTGCTTTCAAATTATTTTAGGAATGAGGGAAAACAAAAACTTTTTCATTTGTGGGCCACTCCAAGCCTCCATTCTAGAGAATGCTTTGAGGACAGACGAAGTTGGGTGGGAGTATGATCTCACTTTTTTTCTCATGATCTCACTTGAGTTCTTAATGGAAGTTGAGTGTATTACTCATGACACAAAGCGTCGTGGCACAGGAGATGGTCAGAGGAGCTGATGCTGGCGTTACATTGGTTTTCCACTTGCAGAAGGCTGTTGTTCTAGATGAGCGCATAGACTGTAGACAATATTTTTTTTATATATATTTTAAGACAGACTGCATTCAGTGATACATACTGTGGCTAAACCCAGGTGTCATATCTTCATGCTTGAACTTACTAAGCAAACAGATACAACCTAACTTGTTTTAGTAATTCCTTTGGCTATTGGAAAGTTTCGCTAGACCTATATCCAGTTCATGTGCATGATGGGGCAAGTACCAAGTTGGAGAAATTCATTATAGTATCTAGAGCCTTGAACTCCCAAGTCTGAAGCCCAGGACACAATTTCTCTGTGTGTATGAAAATGAGATAGAGGAATCATGCAGATGAGTATATTATTTTTAAATATATGCACACATATATGCCAGGCACTGTTGTAAGCACTTTGCAAATATAAACTCATTGAATTTTTATCACAATTTTATGAAGTCGGTTCCATTCTTATCCTCATGTAATGAGTGATAAGTGGCCAGCAAGGCCACAGATTCAAAGTTTTTCGGCCAGGAAATCGGTATTGGAATCCAGACTGTTTTTAACTCCTCTGCTTGAGAGCTGGAAGCACCATACAGAGAGATACAAAGGTGATCCTTTCCACATAACTGAAGGCACTGTGGTCCCTTCCAGTTGCCATATTTGCATTTCCAGACCTTTTAATATTTGCCAGAAATCCTGGGAAAGGTTAAAACCCAGAAAAGGGCCTTTCTTGGATCAGAACTTGTTTTCTGTGTTTTTAAAAATATTTGTTATTGATTTCAGAGAGGACGGGAGAGGGAGAGAGAGAAGCGGTCAATGATGAAAGAGAATCATTGATCAGCTGCCTCCTGCTCGCCCCACACTGGGGATGGAGCCTGCGACCCTGGCATGTTCCCCGATGTGGAATCGAACTGTGATCTCCTGGTTCATAGGTCGATGCTCAACCACAGAGCCACGCTGGCCGGGTGGGTCAGAACTCCTTTAGAAAAATGTTTCCTAAAGTTCCCCCCTCATCAGCATATAATCATATCTGAAGAAACCCTTCCTTTTGCCCCCTCTCTCTTTCCTTTCATGAGCTATAACATGCCTTTGAAATTTTAGGTGATGAAGTTTTAATAATTCAAGATAAATTGGAAGCTATTAAAGCAAGATACAAAGACATTACTAAATTGAGCACGGATGTAGCCAAGACCCTGGAACAGGCCCTGCAGCTTGCAAGCCGGCTGCACTGCGCACACGAGGAGCTCTGCACCTGGCTGGACAGAGTGGAGGTGGAATTGCTTTCATATGAGACTCAGGCTCTGAAGGGAGAAGCTGCAAGCCGAGCGCAGGCGCGACAAAAAGTATGCTCTGATTTATGCACCTGGGACCCGTTGGTTATCTTGAGGGGGCGTCTTATTCACACAGGAATGAAGCGATCTCTCTCCCGTGTCATTACTGGCATGCTAAAGGATGCCTTGGTGGGCGGGGGCCCAACAGAAATTGGCAGCAGGTCAACTGCGTAAACTTTTAGGAACCCAGAGATGAAAACAGTGCATTATAATTTATTTTCAGAGTCTTACAATGTATTACACAAGAGGCAGGATGACGAAAACAGAAAAATAAAATCAAGGAAAAGGATCACCGTTTGCAGAGATGCACGTAATTTGGTTAGAATAACACTGTTTTTATGAGACAGATGCATAATGTGAGGTGGTTTTTAAAGTTATATTGCAAATGTGGTCTTCTATCCTGCTAATCATCTTTTTTTTTCAGAGATATCAGCCTGCCTTTCTCATCCCTGAAGTATGATCATATGTGGGGGAAAGGGAGTCGGTGAGGTCAGGCTTGCTGAGCCTGTTATGATTCAGCTGGGGTGATTTAAAGCCAGTGTGTCCTCATTTCGAGGGCCACTTGATTCTGGCTTGGACTTCCCTCTTTATTTTACTTCCAGGGTACCCGATGACTTAGAGGTTACCAGACAACAAAGAATAATACAAGATAACTTGCTAGGTTTTGTTTCCCAGCTTATAGACATTCAGTTTAAATTTCAAGGGTGAAATCTTGCCATGTTGACAAATGAATTGTCCTTCAGAACTTTTCAGGAAACACTTTCCCTTTTGCTTGAAATAACAAAGGTTTCTAGAATTTAGCTGAAACTCAGGGTGCCAGTGCATCGCATTGTTGGCCTGCAAAGCATGTTAGCCCCAAATACATTTAGAGGAGAAGCCTGTTCAGACATGTAAGCAATTACCCACAGGTCTGTATGCTTTCTTAATTCTGTTTTCAGGAGCTGAAAAAGGAAGCTAAGAGCTGCAAAGCCTTACTGGATTCCCTTAATGAAGTGAGCAGTGCCTTACTGGAACTGGTGCCCTGGAGGGCGAGAGAGGGGCTTGAAAAAATGGTGGCGGAGGACAATGAGCGCTACCGATTAGTGAGCGACACCCTCACGCAGAAGGTGGAGGAGATCGATGCTGCCATTCTGAGATCACAGCAGGTAGGGGCTAGTGGTTTGTTGTCTAGGCAATACATTTCCCCCAGTTGTTCCCAGAGCTTTACCTGAACAAAGATTTCCGATAACAGCGTTTCATTCATTGGTTCTGCTTCAAAAGTGAAAGGAGGGATTTGAAAAGAATTTGGTTACTTTGACATCTGAGTGCAGGGGCACGGCTAATCTGCACATTGTCAGCAGCCATCTGCCTCTCTGTTTCCCAGACGGATCCTCACCAGATCAGCCACTGGGTAGATCAGCCCTGCTTTCCAAAGAAAACTCTTTTTGTGCACATATATGCACATGACGAATGCTAATGTTATGCATTGGCTAAGTCTAATCTGTATGCAAGTAAATATTTTGAGTTATCATGTACATCAGTTACTAACTGGTCATTTGCATGGAGCTATGGCAAAGAGAGGCTGTCGTCTTTCTAACAAGGACAGAGTTGTGCTGGTAGAGCTTTTTTCTGTGAAGGGGAAAATGATAGTTTTCAATCTCTCTGTGACTCACATGGAGTTGGAGTTCCAGAGAGTTTTATAGGCACCCGACTATTAGCCACAGCTCCCTCAGAAAACTGTGGCCAACGAAGGGGGGGGGGTCCTGGAAATAGAAGTTTATAATACGTGTTTTGATTAACTTTTATTGAAATCTCTGGATATTTACATTAAGTCATCAGAGCCTTATTGCCAACTTTCTGGGATGGGGTGAGTGCAGTGACTGTAGAGCAGAGCGTGAGAAGGTGTCTGACTAAGCTCTCGCTAGTACCAGCCAAGAGCAAGAAGCACAAATCAAGCAGACTGTGTGGGAGCATCCGAAATTAATTTTCTAAGGTTGCCGTCAGAGTGTGATTTATACGGTTCTGGGGCACATGCTTCACTGCTCATTTCAGTGCTGCGCTCAGGAGTCACAGAGGCAGACAAAGTACAATGGTAGCAGAAGGCCTGCCTAAGAAATGTTTGCGGGGGAGGGCATTCATGCCCGCGGAATGTACTTTCACGACTGTTTTCAAATCTTGGGGGAACTGTATGCCTCATTATTATAAGGAAATAAGTGTGCTTGTTTGTGAAGTTTATTCAATTAGTTGAAAGTACCGAATTTTTTTTTCCACTGAAATTTATTCCAAAGTTTCGGAATTGGCTCTGCAGACTTCTCTATAAATAGCAAGACAAATATTCTGTTCTCTTGGGAGTAGTTAACTGTGGTTGGCTAGCTCAGTGCAGCAAGATAGTACTAAGGGCAAGGTGACAGGCTGAGCTTGTGTTGGTTAGTGAGCTCAAATATGTGTCCAGTTCTATTCAGGGTTTCGCAAGTGGTTTCCAAAACACTTCTAGTACCCAAAATATATATTCTTTAGGAAAATCACATTTTTTTTTCTGATAAAAATAATTCCTTGTAGAAAATGTTAAGATTTTCTGAAAGAATACAGACAAACCCGCGGAAGAAAGAATGTGTAAACAAGTGGTCTCTGTCCTCCCGGCCTACCTTCTGAGAGAGAGAGAGAGAGAGAGAGAGAGAGAGAGAATGTGGATAGTAAACGTATCTTAGTACCAGCAGGTCATACAGCTCATGTTTATGTCATTAATATCTTCTGGTTGTTCATCTGTATTTGTTCTGCATTTATGTGTGCATTCCTTTGAAATGCCTGCAAATCTGTCCAATGGAATACCTCGAGTAATAAAAAAAAAACACACCCCACAAAACAGTAAAATTAACTTAACTGATCAAAATAAAGGAAGGGAGGGAGGGAGGGAGGGAGGAAAACACACGGTTTAGAGCTGGGAGGAAAATGTGCAGTGTGGTGAAGTGACCTGCCTGTGGTCCCACAGCTAGTATGTGGTGGAGCCACAACCAATTTCACCCAGACCTCATTTTACCACCCTGGAGTGCCTCCTTATAAATTACACAGGGAGGGGAAACCCTGGGGGTGGTCCTTCTTTCCCTCACCTCCTTCATTAATCTGAAGGAAGGTGCCGTTGCTATAGGGAAATGGAAGTATGTAGTGAGGCTATTTCCAGTTTATAAGGACTGGGAGCCATGAGAATGCAACACCAAAGGATCGTGGAGACCACTCTCCAGGCAAGTTTAAGAAGAATTTGGAACCTGCCTTTCTGATTTGGCAGAGATTTTAGTTTCACACTCAAAAGAGTAGTTTCTACATTCATAATTTTCAGGTTTATAAAGGAGCTAATATGTCACTGCAATTATTTTACAACTTTTCCCACATAAAGATGTTTTGAATTAGGACTGGAGTGCAGTTTGATACTGAGACATTTGTTTTCTGTTTACCCAGTGATAATACATCATGAAGTATAAAAGGCATGTGATGCAAAATAAAGAAAAATCTTCAGACCTGATATTAGCCACGTGTTCTATACTGTATACTTTTTGTGGTATATACAAATCATCTACCATTCTGTCTCTTGTCCATGTAAAACATGGACATGATCTGACCACAGCCCATCTTTTTAGACATGTCTTTAGACACATACACTTTGTGTTAATAGCACTGCTCCATCCCAGATCCCAACCACCAAGATAACCACACCCACCAGTGACAGGGTGAGGATATGTGCCTTGAACATGACTTGGTAATTTTTAAATTTGTAGATTTCATGTTTTGTCTTGGAGTAACCTGGTTAAATTAAACTAAATTTTGAATACCTGTTTTCCAAGCAAATTGCTCTTAGGATGTTTCATCTTTTGCCACATTAAGGTTGTTTACATAACCGGTCCAGATCCAGTACCTTAATAATGTTACTA